ATACCCATAAACGATGGATATCCGTTATAACCGCAAGTAATACCCATAATCGTCCATTTAAATTTCATGGATAAACAGTTATACCCATAACCGTTTGTTCGTCTAAACGGTTATCCATAACTATAACCGTGAATTTTAAATGGACAGATAATCGCGGTTATTCAAACCCATGAATACTTTACCCATCCCAGGTGCGAGTGAGTCGTTGTCCTCCTCATCAAGTTGGGGACTTAGAAATCGACAAGACTATGAACAAGCCAAGCCGTTTTCCTCCTCTTTATCACTATCTTAGAAAATTCCACAGAAATGGACAAAAACTGAAACCCAAAATTAAGTTCTTGAAAAAATTAGTGGCTGCAGATTCAAAACCTTCTGGTCGGCTAAGATCTTTAATTTCCAAGGGCTTTCTGCTTCCCGTATTTAGGGTTAGCCTTATCATCTAGTAAATTTTTCATTCACATTTTCTTGTGCGATATTGGAATTTTATTAAGTTAGGAGAATGAGAATTTGAATTCAAAGTGTAGAAAAAGGATTACTGCTCTAGCTAGCCGACTTGCAAGACTCAATATCATTTGAACGGAGTAGGATTATCTCCTATTTTTTTCCTCTTCTATTTGAACGGTCACAGTTCAACCACGTCGATATCTTATATTAATTTTTTATAGCGAGAAAAAGACAAAATAAGAGAATGTAAGAGGAGGGGATGAAAGGGAATAGAAAGAAGAGGTGAGAGAATCTTAATCCCATTTGAACCATCAAGTTAAGATAAATATGGGGATCTGTGACAATTCTTTTACACAATTTTTGACACACGTTTATGTAGGGCACACTCCATAATCTATTTTAACCATTCCAACTGATTATCTTTTAGAACAACATTCATAGATCATCCTTAAAAAAAAAATTAGATTAGACAAATCTAAAATCATTAAGACGTTCATTTGTAGTGAAGAAAATAGACGAATACGGTTCTACAAAGAAACCTTAAACTCTTAATCCCATGGTTATATGGTTTCAGCTTTCAATGATTTTGGGTAAACATTATCTTTGAGAAAAAATTTAAAAGATTGATATTTCAGATCGTTAAAATACAATATTACGAAATGAGTCCTAAAAAAAACTTTGTCGAAAGTTATGCACAAAAAAATAGTATCACGGATCTGTTCTCATTATATATATATAATTACAAATGTCATAATAAAATAATAAATGAATGTAGGAGTTGTAAAAGTCATGCAGTGTGTATGACATATGCATTGTATCTAGAGAAACGCCGTACAGAAAATATCATGTTACTATACAGTTATGATTACTCTTATAATAATCGAGCTGATGGTGTGACTTGACCGTACAGATTCATGTATAAAATAATGAAATGATGCAAATCAAGGAAAAATATTGTTTTGTGAATCATGAGGCTGATAGGGTATCCGAATCATTTCTCTTCTTCATTTATGCCATTTTGGAATGTAGATGAAGGATACTTTGTATTGGAAGTGAAAGTGAAATAGAGATGTGAAAAAGGAGAAAAATGATACACGAAAACCTTGCTTAGAATCCACGTTCTCTAGACTCACAAGTCCAAATCGAATAAATTGTTATTCGTCTCTTCTTTTAAAATGTTTTTAATATAGTAAATAGTCATATCCAAGATAATCTCTCCCTATCAAATGAGGCTATATTGTTTCTAACTTCATTAGTTTGGAGACAAAGACCCACCACAGTTACCACTTATTATATTCTTTTTATGGGAATCATCTCCGAATCTCTTTCATCAAATACACCCAATCAATGAATCTGTATATTTGAAATTTGATCCAATGACTAAAAACAGGGGGTCCCTTTAAAAGTTATAATAACTTTAGACGTTGAATCAAATTTTAAAGATCCGAATTCATTGATTGGATGAATTTGGTGGAAGAGATTCGGAGAGGATCCCTTTCTCTTTTTATGAGCAATTAATTACAAAAAAATTTTCCAGCTAATTTTTTTCCAGATTGTCTGCACTCATGTTTGGGTGCCCTTCACATCCCCTCCTATTATGTGCGGTCACGGTTAAGCCACGTCAATATTTTATATTAATTTTTTTTATAGAGATAATAAGACAAAAAGCAATAAGAATATAAAATGTTGACGTGGCTTGACCGTGACCGCATAAATAGAAGGGGATGGGAAGGACACCCAAACAGAAGGGCATACAATTTGTCTCCCTTGTTAAATGAGTACTCCACTCAAATTATGATTAAACATTTGATTAATTAATCTAATTGTGTCAGAAACCCTAAAGGGGAGCGCAAGAATAGTAAACAATTAACATAATCTGATTAGCGTTTAAGGGTTATCTACGTTGGGAACCTCAGTACGGACCCCATTTGCACCGGCAAGGCCATGCACCTAATCCATTTCAAGAATTAATATGCATATATGCTCTTCTTTTTCCAGAAGCCACTTTCATACTTGCATTATCATCAACGGTATATAATCATCGCATGATTTCTCATCATATAACTAATCACGTCACGAAAGATGGAATTTAAATTCTCTTTGGATCTCGTAATCTAGAACTGACGGACCATGTAATCCGGATCGTTCAAGAGAGAGAAAGAGATCTGAACCTTTGATTTTACGGAGTGATCAATGAGATGAATTAATAGAGACTGTAAAATTTGAAATAAGTGGTCCGGACTATTAAATCTGTTAACTCTGGATTGCGAGATCCAAAGAGATCTCGATTCTAAAAGATGCAGACAAATGAATTTCAACCGGCGAGCGGTGACACTAGATTCCGTGCGCGAGAAAGGTAGAAGAAAAAATTTGGGAAAATAAAGTTCATCTATTGAATTATTAAAAGGAAGATGCTCTTCTTGTAGTGCATGATATGCAGGGAACATAAGTAGAAAGCTGTTTAGCTGCTTTAGAGGAGTTGGGGGACCATCTGATGCGGCTTTAGAGCAAATTAGGTGAACTTGTTCTCTTCATTTACCTCGAAAATATTTCATTTATTTTTCAACAACTTAGGCCATCTCTAAGGCCATCTCCAACCGAAGGGTCCAGAGGGCCAGAGGGCCGAAAATAGCCCTAAAATCGTCTCCAACCGAGGGCTAGGCCAGAGGGCTCTGGAATCTGGGAGGGCCCCACGGGATCGGAGAGGGCTGGAGGGCTGGCTGCTTTCGGCCAGCCAGCCAGCCCCGGGGCTGGCTATTTTTTTTTTTAATGTTTCCTATTGCTGTCGGTTAAAATCGACAGCATTAAAGAGCTTTTTTTTTTTTTAAATAGTTCTACTATTAGTGTCGGTTATAACCGACACTAATAGTTTGAAATGTTTTTGAATGTAACGGCTAGTAGCCGTTGGATTATTAGGCCTCTCTTTTTTCTTTTTCTTTTTTTTTTTAATGAATTTAAACTTCTTTTTTTCCCTTTTTTTTTCCTTTTCATATGAATCAAATTTTTTTTCATATTTTTTTTCCTATAACTTCTATTTCACAAAATTTGTTTCATATTTTTTTTCAATTCTATTTTTTTCGTATAACTTCCTAGGCCATTTATACAACATTAAATTGTAGTTTTTAAATAATAAATTATGTTTGGCCCTATGGCCCTTTGGCCCTCGGTTGGAGACGGTTTTTTGTGACAGGGCTAAAACGAGCCCTTTGGCCCTCTGGCCCTCGGTTGGAGACAGAGGCAAATATGGCCCTGTACTGTTCATTAAAATATTAATATCTTGGGGAATCTTGGAGGGCCAGAGGGCTCAAACGAGCCCTCTAGCCAGCCCTCGGTTGGAGATGGCCTAACCGAGGGCTGGCCAGAGGGCACGTTTTAGCCCTCTGGCCCTCCAAGATTCTCCAAGATATTAATATTTTAATGAACAATACAGTGCCATATTTGCCTCCGTCTCCAACCGAGGGCCAAAGGGCCAGAGGGCTCGTTTTAGCCCTGTCACAAAAAACCGTCTCCAACCGAGGGCCAAAGGGCCATAGGGCCAAACATAATTTATTATTAAAAACTACAACTAAAATGTTGTTTAAGTTTCATGTTGTATAATTTTTATGTTGGTTAATGTTATTTAATGTTGTTTCATATTGTTTAATGTTGTTTCATGTTACTTAATTTAATTTAATGTTGTATAATGGCTTAGGAAGTTATAGGAAAAAAAATAGAATTTAAAAAAAATATGAAACAAATTTTGTCAAATAGAAGTTATAGGAAAAATGGAATTTAAAAAAAATAATAATAATGTAAAAAAAAATCAAATCAAATGCAACGGCTAGTAGCCGTTTCATTTGAATTTAAAAAAAAAAAATCCTGTCGGTTATAACCGACAGGAATACACCATTATTTAGTATATTAAATAATAGCATGTATTCCTGTCGGTTATAACCGACAGGAATAACAAAACTATAAAAAAAAAAAAAAGCCAGTAGCCAGCCCTTTGGCCCTTTGAAATTCCGTGGGGCCCTCCCAGATTCCCGAGCCCTCTGGACCCTTCGGTTAGAGATGGCCTTAACTTATAAGTGAACTTGGAATACTTTGATACGAGAAACGCTAAGGAGATTCTCTTAAAAGTAGAACTCTCTATGAATTTTCTACCGTCTAATATTTTTGACACAATGTTTTATACTACCAACACCAGAATTGTTGTTAAATTGTGAGGTGACAGAAAATTCCACTTTGAGAAACTCCCCTTAACATTTCTCCTTTTATACTATGCGTATGAGAAATGCTAAGAAGTTTTATGTAGACTCTTCACCTCATTTTTTTGGCACAATATTTTATAATATTTGCACGAAAAATAACGTTAAACTGTAAAGTGACAGAGAGTTCATAGAGTCCCATCGGCCGTGAACTGACAATTTGGGTTACAGTAAGATAATATTCTCCAATAGTTTCGAAATAATTGATGTCGCGAAACGGCGAGACTGAATCAGACGGCGAGGCGAAATCAGGGAGTTAAAGTGACGATTGTTCAGCTCGAGGGAGCAAAAGTCAGACTCGAAGTTAGCTTGAGGAGCGAATGAATAATTGAGAATTGAAAATACTGCTTCTGTGGCCGCCACATCTGAAAGCGCTTTTTGTTCTTCCAAAAGCACACACAGCAAGAACAACACAAGAAGAACACTAAACAATGCAGGTAACAAAATGGAACAAAGCTATAGGCGGTGGCATTAAGCGCTAATTACACTTCAAACGCCAAAAACTACAGCAACCTATATCTACATTCTGTAAAATTGAACAACAGAAACCTACATAACGAAACAACAGACGGACGCCATTCGTTTATTCATCGGCCCTCTTCGCCCTAAAATCCGAACACCAGGCGGTACCCTTATCTTCCGAACAAGATCCCTCCAGCCCACTAGTTCCCTCTTCCTGTACATTAAAATTGTCACGGCCGCTACGACTATCTAAAACACTTGCCATATTGGATATCCCAGGCAGAGAGACCAGACCCATGGCTGCAATGCTGTTTGCAATGACGTCAACGTCCCTGGTTCCACTATAGAGACCCCTGCTCCCAGTAACAAGCATGTTGCGATTCTCGTGTGCAGTTGTTATCATAGCAGGCAATACATCCATCAGCTGTGAGCTATTCTGGGTTGAACCACTGATTAGAAGTCGTCGTAGTGTCTCTCTGGCACCCTTCTCCAGCATGGAATCAGTTTCAGGAATGTTCACAAGTTTCGAGTGCAGGGGAGATATTGCAGTTGAAATAGCAGGACCGGCGCTGACCAAGTATCCTTGACCCGACGAGCAAATATCAATAACTGGAATGTGAACAATTGGGTCGCACATCAAGGGTATGAAAGTTGGGATCTGCTGAGAAGATGGCCTTGGTAGCCTAACCAGTGGGTCTGGGAGAAATGCAGGGAAATCAAGCAAGGGGGAATCAGCCAAATGAAGAGGTGGTTTTGTTGTCAACATGCTGGAGGGCATATTGGGTGGTAATAAAGATGAAAGTGGTGGAAGCAATGCTGACTCTGTCGATAAACTGGGTAGTTCAGGAAGTCCTGGCGAGTATTGCAAATCCGATGAACCTGGAGGGCACCAACAATAGTAAGGAGAGAGCAGAGGGGTGACCATGTAAGGAACTTGTGATGCAGGGTTCCTGGTTTTCTCTAGCGACTCTAGGAAACCTGAAGATGATAACGAGCAACTTCTAATAGGTTCTGGACACCAGTCACTTTCAGCATGATTTGAACAAGATGAATCGACTGTGAATGTGATTGGTGAAGCAACTGTTGGGTTGTCAATGGCTGAAAGATAGATGTCGCCTCGCTTCCTTAATTTCTCCCTGGTAATATTCCTCAGAGAAGACAAGGTTCTGGGCAGATCTTTGAAGGAACTTGACCGTGGACTCAGGCTACCCTGAAATGATGAATTTGCCTTCATTGGTTGATTGACACCATGTCGGGAACGCAGGGATTTTGATGATGTGGATGAGAAGTGTCCGTGTTGAGCTGTATCACATGGTTCTGTGGTGGTATACGTATCAGAAGGTGAGCCTGCAGAACTTGACGCACCGCCACCTGCTGTTGATCCCACCAGATAGGCACGTAGGTGAGTTGCAAAGCAACCGAGGCGAGATTCACTGATACCAGTTAACTCAGCTATGGTGGGCTTCCTCTTGAGCAGATCCTTCATCTGTACACAAACAAAGTACGTTGAGTTAAAACTACTGTTGGAACCAAATACATCAAATCAATATTACTTGTTATATACACACCTTCAAAAGCAATTCAATTCCCAAAAGTCGTGATGTCTCAGAGCACCAAAAGTAAAAATCCGGTCATCTGGAATTTTAATAAGGAAAGATCGGCCAGAATTGTCTGCTGGAATCTCATTAACTTCTACAGCAGAGCATTCGGATTTATTATGTAAGGTGCACAGTCTATCTATACGACCATCATCCCCAACGAATGAAAGGCGTAAATTTGAAGTTGGCAAAACTGTTAGATTTAAATTGCCCCTGAGATAACATGAAAAGATAATGAAAGCTTAGAAATACAGATATAAACAATAAACAAATAAAACACAACAATATCAACCAGAAACTACATTACACGGTTATGTTTTGAAAGTGGTTTCAAAGGAGAGGAACAAAGATATGAAGACTAAAATTGAAGGAGCACAATCACTCGATATAAATCTAATTGTGCTTTCTCAATTAACAAAATTATTTCTTTTTTCCTTTTGCTTTTCCATTGATAAAATCCAAAACAAATTCAAGCAATTAAATTGCTAATTTGAAGGCTTTACAGACAGAGGTATCTGTTCACCATTCTAAGAAAACAAATCACCATGCAGGATCACAACCATTTTCCTTGAAAGTTCAAATATTAAGCCCTTTAAAATAGCTATCACAAAAGCTATTATTTAGAGATGCATCAACGTCAATTTTGTATCTTGAATCCTAAAAATACTAAAACCTGATAAAAGTTGGACTCTCCAGTGACCAGCATAAATGAAAGGTACACAACCAAGGCAAAAAGGTGTATCTTCCTGTTTTTCACTGATAAATGGGTTATGAGATAATGTTACTTTTATCAAGCAAAAGCATTTCACACAAATGTTTCTTTTCTGTAAATATATAAATAAACAGGAAGTTCAAGTAACACGCCGTCAATACACCATATGACTGGAAGAAAGACATAAAGTAGTACATTGATGTCCAATTCAGTTAAGAATAGCTCGACGTTAATAAAGAAACATATGCTTGCAGAACCAAACAAACTTCTGGAACACAGTAGGAAGAAACGACATAACTCTGAAACACAACAATCAGTCACACTCGATTTTGATCTCCATCAAGATGTCAATCATTTATAATTAAAATGCAGCAGCAAGCTATATAATATATAGGATCGTGGAACTACCTTTACGTCCTCTTAATTCAGAGATCATAATAGAATATGCCCACATTACCTACAAGTCAAAAGACATATTTACTTGGAAGAATGAACATTGTCACTACTAATAAACTAAATAGATTCCCCTACCTACGAAAACATTATTTACTAAAGATACACTCCTCACAACATAAGATTTGTTCACAAACTCAATACTATATCAAAATTCCTTCTACCAAACTAAGGGAATTGTTTATTTTGTAACCACTAAGGTAACTAACCCGCAAGTAAAAGTTAATGATACATGCCAATGATGTTAATTATAATAAAAGGAAATAAGAACTGCAAACTATATCAGAATAGCCATAAATTGATTTATTGACAAAAGACTGATAAGTAAAAGATACGTATAAATAAATGCAGACCAAAACATTCAATGGAAAATATAAGCTTCATCTGACATCATTCTGCTTATGTATTGTAAACAAATGTCCCTTTCTTCACATAAATTGATTTAACAAGTACATCATTAAAACTAACCTCCAAAATGTGTCTCCATGTCTGACTGCAAAAACCATGATGCAGTACAAAGTGACATCAAGATGCAGTGCTTTTCACAGCAAATAGAAATCCACAAGTCAAACATGGTTAATATGATGGTATTTCCCATGGCTATCACAAAATGCTACTACCCTCAAAATCCACAATCAGGGATTCATGATTCCAAAAATTGTTACACTAAATTATATGGTAATTTTGGTGATTGAAAATACCTACCATCTCTAAATGATAAACGACACATTAAGCTTTTGTAGATTATGATGTTTCTTAATAAGAAGCCAAAACCATAAAGACATTTGACCTAAGAATGTCTTCCCCACATTCAAAGTTGTAATTGAACATTCAGTCTATAAGAGTGAAGCCCCATTGTGCATTGTTCTGGCTAGGTGACATCACTTTCCGATTCCCATACGACAAACCATAACAAATCCATGTTTTAAGTAACGAAAGTAAGTCCCAACCCATATGAGAGCAAGCTTTCCAATCAATTTCACACATAAAAATTTAACTAACAAACATACACAGCAAAGAGTTTCTGCTGAGTTGTATAATAATCCAAAACAATAATTCAAAACTAACTTGAGTGAACTTTCCTAGAACATTCTCTAAAGGTGACCCAGAAATATAAATGCATACAAAGATTCACAGAAAGACTACTTTCTTAAGTTCATAATCAACATGAAAGATGCAGTCCAATCTCCCAATAAAAATCAAACACGCACAATTACACAACTAATACTTTTCTACACGAGGACCTGGAAATTAATATCGGACAAATTTGAACTTACGGGAGTAAATTAAATGTTTGATTAACTGCGAAACATCAGACGGTACTAACATCAGGACATTACTAACAACAGTTAAATCGAAGGCCAAAGATTTCCAGCAAAGCTATCTAAATGCAAAGACAATCAGTTGTTCTAAGTGATTGACTTTGTACGGTTCTTGTTCAAACTATTTAAACGAGCAAAAATAATGAAAAACATCAATTACAAACAACATTTCAAACAAACAAACACACAGGCGAAAACACACCAAACCAGAGCACCAATGGATATCGATAGTCGGATGTTTACCTAGCAGCAGTGGGACACAAGAGAGTCCCTTGCTTGTTGATCTTCCCCACACGAATAGATACGAGAGGTATACAGAAGCACCTCGCAAGCATTCCAACTTCCGCCGGCTCGAAATGCTATTCATCAAACACAAAGTGTGAGATCATCAATTTGCAAAACCCGAAATCAATATAAACTTAACCCCCAAAATTATGCCCACATTTCGACAGATTTCAACAACATTCCATCCAATTCACAAAGTATTTTGCAGTTACTCCCACCAAAAACCATTGAATGGCAAATAGAGCTTCAATTCAATCAAGTTAGGCCATTTCTATCATACCTGGCTCAATTGAGCTAACAATCGATCCTCTGCGACGTCGTTCGACACATTCATCTTCAACAACGGTTTCAACCTCTCGTCGACGCGACACGCGCCCATAACCTGCATATCAAGCGCTTGTAGGCACTGCAAAACGCGGTCCTCTCGATTGCTCTGCTGCAGCAACAGATCTCCATCTCCTTCGTCAACAAGTATCCCCGTCAACCGCTCCTCGAGCCCGGTCTCCCTCCTCGCCGCCGGTCCAGCTCCGTTGCTCTCCACACCGTTCGAAGACGACGAGTCCTCCATTTCCCCACCGCTCCATTGATCAGAAATGCGATCGCCGCCATTGATCTCGTTGTTCGTGTCTAAATCTCGGTCTCCATGGTTAGTCATCGCGAATAATAGGGGAAATTTCCTTCAAATCTCAACTCGTCTTGACAGATTCGAAACCCTAATCGAATTCAATTCTTTTTGTTAAATTAAACTTATTTTTTTCAAATTACGGTTTCCAAATCTGAATCGGAAGCCCCGGAGATGGTTGAGATTGAACCGGAAAAGCAAGATTGTTTTGCCGATTGCGTGGGTGAGGAGAGAGAGAGAGAGGAGATAAGGCGGTGTTTTTAGAGAGAGAAGAAATAATAATTGGTTTTGTTACAAAAACGGAAGGACGCAAATGGCAATGGGGTCGGTTTATATAAATACAGCTGGGCAGGGACTGGATTATAATACGAGGCGGACTTGAAAGCCGCCTATCCAATTCGGTTGTGTTCGGTCTTGAAATCCGGGCGTGATTGCATAGGCACCACGTCAGCTTATCAGACTGTGGGGACGATAAATTTTTAGGTGTGACGGAAACACAGATAGTATATCAAGTGTTTTTAGCAAGTGGTGGAAAATTTTAATTTTTAAGTTATTAAACTTTTAACACATATAACCTAATATTTCTATAGAAACAAGTGGTGTATCATTTCATGTGACGGTCACACTGAAAAATCTCTCATGTAGGACCTGAGTGTCCGATGGAGCCAGCTGCATTGGGGGTGGGGAGAGACGCCACGTCAGACGCTGAGCGGATCATGGTCATTTAATTCAGCAACAGGAGAGCGAGTGAGCTGCGGCGGCGTCGGATAAGGGGGTGGCTGCTAGCGTGCGCGTTGGATGGGGACGGGTTGAGGAACAACAAAACAAGATTAATTTATTGGTTTTTTCCCAAGAGAGGAGATTGGAAATTGAGACAGCTTTCTTCTTATTCCTTTCTTTTCAAATTAAGGAAATGTTAACGAGATCAAATTTATAGATAAGATTTTGTAAATTAAACGATGTAGAAGTTGATTAGATTATTAAGTATTAATGGACATGTTCATTTATATTAGTGACAAGTCATTCAGTTTGTAAATTTAATCTATAAATTTAGTCTCTCAAGTATTAACCTTCAATTTATAGCTAATTGAGGCTTACTATTCATTTAGGTGTGTTGTCAGTTAGCTTTTAGTCTAATAATCTTTTTCTTTTTCTCAAATTGAAAGTTTGTCTATAGTATGAACCTTTTATAGATAATATTATTCGCACATCTGCTTTTACTTTTAACGCAGGGATTGAATGAATTGAAAAAAAATCAACCGACAAAAACGAACAAGAATGTATGAAAGATAAAAAGGATGTGTGAAACTTACAAATTTTATCTACAATTTTAGTCTCTCTAACTTTTTCTTTAAAAAATTATCTTTATGCTAGGTCCCATGATACGTAGAGTTTTGATTGGGTGCAACCTTGTGCCCACATTGAAAGTGAGTGTCACGTTTAGAGCAAAAATAACAATTTATGGGAAAGATATCTTCTCTGTGAAACTTACAAATTTTATCTACAATTTTAGTCTCTCTAACTTTATCTTTAAAAAATTATCTTTATGCTAAGTCCCATGATACGTAGAGTTTTGATTGGGTGCACCTTTGTGCCCACATTGAAAGTGACTGTCACGTTTAGAGCAAAAATAACAATTTATGGGAAAGATATCTTCTCTGAATTTCTTCCACTAATGTCACCCGATCAAGTGATTCGAGACTTTCAAATTTCATCCAACGACCTATCTGTTTTGACCACTTAAAAGCTGTAATAATTTTTTTACTGTTGGATGAAATTTGAAAGGTCTAGATCACTTGATTCGATGACATTGGTGGAAAAGATCCGAAAATGATCTCTTTTCCAATTTATGCATTGTCTAAATCCCAAAATTTAAATTCATCGGCAATCAATATAACATGGTGAGCAAAACTATTTCGCTTTTGCTTTTCTTAAGTTTACCTTTTTGTTCCGTTGATTGGGGTAAAGGATACTACAATAAAAATTCCAATACAATGGAAGTTTGATGACAAGGGATCAGGATCCTCCCTTCACCCTTAAAAACTGAACATGCTAAGTAAGCAATTGTGGCCGTTGAAATTTGATTCAACGACTACAACAGGAGGATCATCTAAAGTTATAATAATTGTAGCCGTTGAATCAAATTTCAACCGTCACGATTGCCTGCTCAGCAGGCTCAGTTTTTAAGGGTTAGAGAAGATCCTGATCCGATGACAAGGAAAAGGTTAGAAGAGGAAAATAACACCAAACGGGGCATAAACCATAAGATCAGCATCCAACAGGATCATCTCCCGATTTTTTATGAGAATTTTGGAGATCTGTAAATCTTATCCTTTCATCGTATATCGTAAGATCAGTTTTTATCAGGTACTGTTTGTGTTTAATTTTATATAAAAATATTTAAAATGATTTCTTACCATACAATGAACGATGAACAGACATAATTCATGGATCTTCGGGATCCTCACAAAGAGGATCCGGCGGGGATCCGGACCCGATCAGCATAACATCTTTAATCATAAGAAACATGACTTTTACTTTACATTTTGTCACTCCACAGTGGAGTCTCCACTCACAGGCAGAGGTTAAACAACCAGTGTTAGAATCGCTACCCGAGTTCATTTCAGCAGTACTCTAACATCCACAGATAACAAAATAGCCTAATTGTTAAAAATTCCGTCAATGCGCTTCAAGTCTTGTAAACGATGAGATATAAGTTTAAACTGATTTCGATTCTAAAGTTACCGGTGAGACAAGCTAAAATTGTCAAGGAGCTACATCTATAGTCGCGTCACAGCTAAACTAAAGCTCTTTCCGTTCCAACCAGGTTCTCCACCAACGACGATATGATGTAGTTTCCAATCACTTGCTCTTTTTTGGTTCTCTCTGATATTCATTTATTAGTGCTTCGACATCTTTCCAGAAGAGGCCCTCCACCAAAACTCCGTCCTTGGTGAACCTGAAATGTTCCCAAATGTTAAGAAAATATTGATTATGCATCCATGTATGTTCATCTCTATATGTGCGGGTATGATCTTCAGAAGTGCGTTCAAGTCTTGGTCTGTGTGTGTGTGTGTGTGAGAGAGAGAGAGAGAGAGAGAGAGAGACCACTGAGTAACGCTCTTGGTGAACTGTACTGGTTGATTAGCAGAAATAGATTTGGGGTCTGAACTTGCTATCACAAGTGTGTACATATCAGAGAATCTTGGCAATTTGGAAGAGACCACCAATCCAGTGCTTGTGAAGGAATCCTGCGCGAATAAACCGCAACTGAATAAAGCTTACAAACCTTCACCGAGTCCAAAATTTAGAAACACACTAGGATATATTTATTAACTGACCATTCTGACTTAAATTGTAGGAACAATCATACTTTATATACAACATTAGACCTTATTGTAGCTTGTGTGGTCCAACATAGAAGTTGTTCATGAACGAGTACAAAAAGAAAACAGTACCGTTAATTGCTTATGCATTAGGATTGAGTTCAAAATGGTAAATATTAACAAGAAAAAGGAACTATAAGATCGTATAAATCAATCGAAAGAGTAATTCTGTTTTACTATAGACTACATCAAAACGAACAAAAAATGTATCAAATTCTGAAATGGAATTTTAAAATTCTTGCACCTAGTAACAGGGGTAAGCAGTTGCGTCAACCAGAGAAGAAAACACAAAAGCTCCCTATCATCAAACAACCATCGGTCTTGCACACATACCACACATGTACAATTACCTAACTATGGACAGTAACCCTCAAAAGGCAGCTCGGCAAAAAACACTCAACAAAGAGCGAAAAGAAGGAACAAGAAACTCTCAAGACACATTTGAGTAGAGACTACTTTATATTCCACCCTACGGTGATGGCAGCAAAGACCTGAGCATAATGTCCGAGACATGTCCCAGTTACATAATGCATATACAACTAACAAGAGGGAAGGAGGAAGATACACCACATTACAGATGAAGAACATATAATAAATTATCATCTAGATGTATTCGGGTCCTTTAGACTCGCTAATAGGTAACTGAGCTTGCTATAGGTTATAAAGCTAAAATTTTGAAAATAGGATCCTCGGTTAATAAGTCACTACTCAACCTCCCGTCGACAATACCAAGCAAACACCCTAATCTAAATTGCAGGTGATAGAGCAACTATTCCAGCGGCGAAAGGTAAAGCTTTGAAAATAAAGCCTTCAATGGGCTGTCGACAAGGATTGCGCCCACATTGAAGGCAACTCCAAAATGGTTATGCACAGTGTCACGGGTTCCACCCCCATGCCCTGGAACCTCAGGAAGTTGAGTATGGATGGATGCAATAGTATATATAACAAGGGAAGCTAGACATTATGAACCTAATTATAGTGTGCCCCGTTACACAGTCTCGTATTAAAGTTTATCAAATCACGCTTTTATCTGCATTCGGTTATCAGCATATCGTCGAAGAGAGACAACGACGCTCATATAGCCCGGAAATTCCATAACCTAGAAGTAAAATATCAACGTACAATCAAGCAATGTAGCTACATTTCCAATCCAAAAGAGAAAACATACCACGGGAGGATACGTAAAGAGAATGGCATTCTTCTCCTTGGTGAATATGATGAGCTGCAACACCGCATTGAAGACTATATACGTGCAAGAGTCAAAGATCAAACACACTTCAAGCTAACATCAACACAATTCGCATCAACCAAACAGAAACTCAAAGCAATTGAACAAATAATAAACACAAATAACAAGATAAGCTAGGATATAAGACGATGCAGAGGATGAGAAAATCTCGGTTTTCGGGGAACTTCTTCTTGTAAAACTGAGCGAAGAGAGCGATGGCGATGATGATGGTGCCCAGAAACAGCCTCACATTGCTCAGCCGCACGTCCTCCACATATCCGCGGCCCGTCACGATCTGCTCGAATTGCAGAGAGAAAATTCAACAAAAAAATTAACCAAAAATTGAAAAAAAATAAATAAATAAATAAAGGAAAGGGAAAGGAAAGGGAAAGGGAAAACGGATCAAGAGGGAAGAGCGAGAGACCGACCTCGGTGACGGACTCGTCGAGGGTGTGTTTGATGGAGTGGTGGTCGAGGAGATTGGCCTTCTTAGGGTTTTTGTTGGGCGAGTCTGATTTATTTTCCTGCATTTTTATGGGGATTTGGATTGGAGGACTGAATTTGAAGGGCTTTGTCCGAAGATGGTGGAAACTGAGAGAAAAAGAGCGGGTACAGTTGCAGTGGGATTATAATAAACATGGATTTGGTGGGTACATTTAGTGAAGATTCCTATACACTATTTGCACCCACTTTTTTTTTTTTTTTAAGAAACTAATGAAAATGATTTGAAAATTTTGAGTTTTAATGATAAGGACAAAATAAAGGGTAAAGTGGATAATACCAGGATTGACTTTTTAGTGTAAAAATGTGATTTTTCGTTAAAGTAAACAGTACCGGGTGCTTTTCGTTAAAGTTCCCTTTTTTTTTTACCATCAAATTTTCCACTTGTTTGAGGTTAATTTGACTCACATGAATGCGAAAATGATTCAAAATTTTCATTTTAATCAACAAGGAAAACATTGAGCGCGAGTCTACTTTGTTTTTTAAAAACAAACTACCACTAGACCAAAAGTCATTCTCAAACAAGGAAAATGATCCAATAACTTCAAAAGAATTGAACGAGGAGCCGTATGAGATAAAAATCTCATGTACGGTTCTGTAGAATGGCAGTAAAGATGACTTATCTGTCAACTTTTTCACTATCAAAACCAAACTCTACCATACATAGAGTTGCCAGAGTACGCTTAACCTCTGGATTTGAAATCACTGCTTATATACCTGGTATTGGGCCTATTGGCCATAATTTACAAGAACAATATGTAGTCTTAGTAAGAGGGGAAAGGGTTAAGGATTTACCGTGAAAACCTAATGCACACAATTCTCTATTGCCACATTGTTAGTGTAAAAGAGGGGCATCTAAAATCAAATGATACCACTAAATTCAAACTTAGGGTCTCCTTTTCAATATACAACTATTCATATGGTGGATTAACTATAATATGGTTACACTAATCAGATTATCCCAAATTGATCCCCCTAAAAATCCCTTGTATTCAAGGTTATCAGTTTGCCAACAATGGCAATACATTTCCAAACAATAAATATTTGATCCTGCAGTTTCTTGATAACATGATGAGATGAAATAATCGGAATCGGGATCGAAGGGAGTGACAGCAAAAGAGGGAGGATGAAAGGTTCGCGACTACGGAGGTTTTGATTTTACTTTGCTGGTGAGCAAGAATCGAGCGGCATTGACAAGTTCCTCCTTAATCATGAACAGAACAGCAGCTGCGAGTACACTTTGTACTATTTTCGTTCCCATCCCTTTGTAGAACCCGTAAAGTCCTTCATACCGAATCATCTTTAAAATAGCATCGGATGTGCCTGAAAGTAAACAAAATAATATGCAACACCATAATTCATGGACACGAAACTTTTATCCGAAAATATTCAGAAATGAAGTTTTGAGGTATTAGTTTCTCAATGTAAAGCATGATTTATGCGGTATAAGAAGCTCTGGCTAGCAGTTGGAAGTTCAAACCTTTATAGTGTTGCCTTTTGTCTCCGTTTGTAACCTGTTTTGCTTGAAGCCTTGACTGCAACAGCACGAGACTCGGTAAGAAACTGAAAGGTTAATGCAACCAAATCCAAGGTAATAATAATACTACATTGTCTCTTCCTGGATGTAGCATGATAGCAGTGTTTTTTCAATTGAAAGGAGCTTAAAAAGTGGAAGACATTTCAGTCGGTCGCAATCCATTCACATTATAACTCAAAGTGTGTATTGCTTCGCATAAACAAAGATGTATATGCTAAGTCCTTTACCTTTACGACTAGAAGAGGATATGTCACAACCGTAGCCCCTAGTTTTGCCAAGGCACCAAGAGAAAATATCTAGCAGAATTAGGCAATCTATTAGCTCAGAGGAAAATCAAAAGAGTGAGTAACATAGGTTAGTACTGTAAGTACTCGGGTTAAAGGTTATCATAAAACATTTACTGAAAAGGTTATGATCTAAATGAAACCTAACCTCTAAAGCAGTAACCCCGCTGTTACCCTTCTTATTCAAGGCACGCCTTTGTTTCAGCTTCTTCAGCATAGTTTCATACAGCATAAATTGCATGGAAGGATTACTCACCTGTGATCAAAATCAAGAACAATTAGTCGTACTCCCTTAGCCTGTATAAGAATCACTTCTCACATACCATGATCAATGTCGGGAATACACCTCTCCAGAAGCCGAAAACTCCACCCTCATCATAAATTTCCTGAATCTGTATGCGTCCATATATTGTTATGATAGGAAAAATTGTTGCTGGAACTAAAGCCAAACTTGTGTGAATCAGAAAACAAAATTCTGGAAATCAATAGAAACACTATTGTCACCCCATGCGTGCACAAGTAGGGGACAAAGAATTAAGAATTAAAAAATAACATAATACTAACCGCATGAGTAGTCCCAAAGGGAGGAAGCTCAGCTGCAGCAAGGATTGCTTCATCTGGAGCAGTTGACAGCTCCTGACCGGGCTGGCACTTCTTTGAGGATTTTTTATAAGTCTAACAGTGCAAAACGAGAACAAACAATAAATTAATAACATCAAACTTGTATGCATTGAGTGAGAGATGCATAAGCTCAGTTTGTTAAATTAGCTACACAGAAGGATAAGATAATTTGGTGAAATTGGTAACTAACATCATAGGCATTTCAAAATTCTGAAATAAGTTCTAAATCCTGGAATGCAGTGCTCTTCAAAGGTCACTTCTAGCACAAGCATAGATACGGGAAAACAAAACTACCCAAATAAGACATGCAAATATGAACTATCGTGTCACTTGATTTGGAAATTCAATGAGATTTGAGGCTAACGTCAATTAGCTCTTCGTTTTTACCTGCATACGCGTAACAACTACCCATATAGGATTTGTGAACAGCACATTCACGCACCTGCAAGAATAAAATTGTGATGAGATTTTCAGCCATAAATCCATGAAAAAAAAAACTCATAATAAAAAAAATTAAATACTGTAAAAGCTACCAAATCTTTACTGTTCTCTTGATTTTCTTCTTCTTAAAAGCTTTCAGAAAGAGCGAATGCAACTTTTTGAGGAAACGATGCTTTTATAGCTTCGAAAATATTAGGAAACAAACAATGTCTTAAGGCCCATCATCATATAAATAAAGAAATACCCAGATAATGCAGCAACCAAAAGTGAAGAGAGCATTCCAACAGATCCATCACCAACCCCCATCTTCCTCCGTTCAAGTGCAGCAGTTTCAGCCTTGTTCCTGAATATTTGATAGAAATAATAGTAAACACCCTGTACCAATAAAATCGCGCGTAGATAAGAAACCAGACAACCAAATAAAAAATTAATGATGCAGATTTATACAACACAAGGTTTAGTGGTAACGTCCTTTGTAAAAAAAGGCTGCAAGCTGCTCTATATCATGTCAAAGTTCAAACTAAGGAATTTCTGACTCAAAAAACACTACAGAAAGAGCATTAAAATTTATGTAGCTAGCGTTGGGTAAGAACATTGCAATTTAACGCTGGCAGTCACTTTGTTATTCAGACGACCGCATAAGCATAAAAAAAATGCTCAGGGTGTTATATTAGCAGATCAAATGCTTTCACTGATGAGCCAGGTCAACACAAACTGTTACCATTACTAACTCGCAGAAAGCATTTACTGCTAATATTGACCTCTTAAACATTATGAACTATACACATGATTTATCAACTGGACTCAACTTATAAACGCTAATGAATGAAGGATAACTGAGCCAATACGCATAACATATTTTGATTAGGTGTAGTGATGGTCGGGGCAAAAAAACCAGCCATGGCTCCATCGGTTTGGGCGGCTTCATGCACGCAACCTAGCAATGGAGGGCATATAATTTTGGGATGACACAATTGTATTTGTTGATGCACAAAATCGGTGAGGACTTTGGTACAACAGAAAGTGTCAAGTTTGTGACCTTCGCTGGATTGCTCCAGTCACTAGTGTAGATAAGTATGTAAATGGATAGAGACAGGAAAGCAAACGCAAGATGTACATGGTTAACCCAGATTGGCTACGTCCACAGAGTGAGAAAACATAATGATGTTTCCTTTCGTACAGTGCACACAGCAGTAGTCATGTAGCTTTAATATAATGACAATGGGGAGATACACAATATATTATATAAATATATTTTCATTCAAATAATGAAGTTGTCTAATTTGGTCAGACTTGCCACATGTTATGGGAAATAGTCAGGTGATAAACCATTAATAATAATGTAAAACATATTATTATAACATGTCATCTCGTTCATTTAGGCAATCATGCTGGCGTTTCCACTGTTTTTGTCAAAAAGCAACTCCTGCTTTTCCACTTGGTACTTTTCAAAAAGCAGTTTCCCTTTCAAAATGATGATACTGATAAGGGTCTCGTGGTGCAAATATAATAGTAATAAAGTAATAATAGTATTTGATGTGACCGGCATAATAAGCATACATCAGTAGTGGAAAAGCAAGAGTTTGTACTTTTCCAATGGGTACGCACTATATATATATATATATATATACATATATTGTGAGGTGCCGCACTATATGTACACAGATCATGAAAACAAATAATATATTGCTAACTGTGCACTAAAATATAGGTGATGTGGTCTCCTGTTAAAGAATATGCACACTGTAAATGCTGCAGTAACAAGACCAACACAAAATAATAATAAATTATTAAATAATAAACTAGTTAATGAATTAGAAGAAGACTTATCTTCTTCGTTGGTTCTCCCGTGGATTTTTTCAGTGGGATAGGTACGGCATGGCTAGAAATTTCTAAGCTACCTCAAGCAAGCTTGCAGCGGCGACGTCGCTCGGGTTGAGTGGGAATAACAATCTGAGTCCCCCGATTCCACTAGTGGTGACGGCGTTGCTAGTAGACGAACGAAATTCCGCCAATCGCGCAGCAACCTCGACCTGGGTTCGATGACGACAGTTTCGTCTGGGTTTTGTAGGTCGAAGCCTTCCGAGTCTGGCAGAGATTAGGAGACGCCTTTGCAATGGGGGGCTTCGAAATCGGTTTAGTGACAACCATGGAAGCTTTTGCGGCTAACCCATTTCCCAATCTCACACCAAATCGCAAGTCGTGCGAGGAAAGTGGAGGGCACGGCGATG